ATATATATATATATATTTTATTGCTCCTGTTCATATTAATTCTTAATCAAAATGGCTGCCTAGTTAGTTGCTCAATTTAGCACCCCTCCCCCCCCTATGAGAAGTACGCAGTAGAAATAGAAACCAAGATGGCGCCTCCAGGAAAAACAACACCCAAAGACGGACGTCAGCAGCCTGGAAGGAGGTTACGCTTTATTAAATCAGTCCAATTATAACCTAGAAAGCTATCGCAAACGCTATGTTTACATATACACTATCAGCTGTCTATATAAAACACAAGAGTGCGAAATAATAATAAAGAAGTGATTTTACACACATTGGAGTTGGTGTGATTTTCATTTACTCTGAGAGTATACTCTATTGAATCAGGCCAGGCGGCAGATATAAGTACGGAACCTTTTGATCCGATCTAAATTTGTGAGCAGGTCCAAAACACTACCTCTATAAGCATGGACAGAAACCTCAATGCCACAGTTTCTTTTTCAGTTTTAACTTAGGCAGTCTCCAGATTTCCATGCACATTATGCCAAAAAAACCACTAGGAGCTGCAAAAAAAATGAATTAAAAAAAAAAAAAAAAACGCTCCAACATACCTTTCCATGTGCAAGTCTTTCTTATTTCCGACCAACATTATAGGTACCCTGCAATAGACAGGACAATCAGTAATCAATACAGAAGGTTAACAGAATACAGAAGAGCACCAGAATCATCACTTACTGCACTTTTCCGACCATGTCCAACAGTTTTTCATGGATTACTTTAATCACTTCAAAACTATAAAAATAAACAAATTGTTAGTAATCAGACTGCAAAGAAAGTTACCAAATTCTGAACTTTGTGCAATATTAAGGGGCCATAAACATGCGTGATCTCCTCTTGCTATAAAAATATTAAACAGGAGCTCTGCAGTGCCTTGAGAAAGTCAGTCATCACCGGTATTAGCCACATGCAGGTACCAAAATTATATTTAACCTCTTCCATGACCGAGGCCTTTTTTAATTTTTATAATCCACATTTTAGGCCTGAAAATTAGTTTAAATCCCCAAATATTATATATTTCCTGAAAGCCAAGACCCTATAGAATAAAATGGCGACAATTGCAAATTTTTATGTAGCACAATATTAGTACAACTCCTTATGAAACCCCAAAATTTTGTGAAAAATGCACTTACATGCGCCAAAACACAATACCCATTTAAATTTTCTTAGATATAGAATATCTATCTAATCTATCCATCTATATATAAATATATAAAAAGGATGGTTACAACCAGTAAAAGAGATACACAAAATCCCTAGGTTAAAATTGTGTGCGTCCGTGAAACCGCGACAATTCAGTACCCCAAAAAGTCCATGGGCGACGCTTTAAAAGCCCCCACAGGTCATCAGTTTAGAGATACACAAATATTGGCCCTAGAGATATTGCTCACAGTCTGGCATGCATGGCGATAACATGTGTAGGGCGGTCATTTTCATACATAGGCGTACCAAACTTGTGTTTATGTGAAGACGCGTGCTCGCGGAGGGACTTAAAA